CGCGCGTCTTTCACGGCTCTCTGCCAGTGAGTGACCAGACGGTCAAGACGACAGCGGCTGCCAGGAAAGTCGCAGTGTGCAGAACTTATGGAACTTCAGTACAAGTTCTGAATCGGCTACCCCAATCTTGCTTGGCTCTTTGCATCAAGTCTCATGTTTCTGCGTGCATGCCTACCTATCGGGGACGACGTTGTTCAAGAAAGCCCGGCAGCAGCTAGACACGGCTTCGAAACAGTGAGCGCAACCGATAACTTGCAGAACGCGCTGTGCCCTCGATCACAGACATGGGGTTGATGAAGCAGGCCCCAAATCACTTGCACCGTGACTTGGCGAGAACGCAGCCACACTCCAGTCTACTGTTGCGACATGGGGGGGAGACAGGGAACAACATAAACATTGACTTGCTTGTAGAAACAATGCTTTTCGTGCTTGCTGACCGCCACAATGGATAGGATCCTTCATTAGCACCAGTAGCTATGCTTCTTGATTTCAGTAGCGGCAGCAGAAATAGCGGCAGGAGGCGGCGCAGCAGCTGCAGAATCAAAGTAGTGCGCTCCAAGTACCGCGGGTAATGTCGATGGTAATGATCCACTGGCAGTTGCAGCTGCAGTAGAAGCAGTAGTAATGATAGTGGCGGTCAGCAGCAGAGGCCCCGCGGTTGAAGTCACAGACGCAGCAGCAGGAGTAGTAGCAGTAGCACAGTAGGTGGGTGTGGTGGTGGTCATTATCCCACTCGTACCAGTGCGAGTCGTCATAGCTGCTGTCCCATGTACTATAACATACTATAATCTAATATAATACAATGAAATTATACAATACAAAAAAAAACAAACAGACTCTTCATAGGGCTGCTGTCCACCAGAACCCAAAACCCAAAAAACACCACGTCTGGAGCGGCAGGCAGCCATCGCGGGAGGCTCTTCATGACCTCAACATGCATTACAGGTAAATACAAGTAAGATCTAATGGAGGCTCCACGTTGGGGGGATTCCTCCCTTTTGAGCTGGGGAACTTAGTAACTTCCTCAGGAATCCCCCCCACCCTCACGATCACACCCTCTGGTGTGCTTTGGATCTTGATTTGCTTCACTGAAGTGAAGGGCAGCTCTAACATCGCAACTGGCAAGCCTTCAAGTGCTGTCATTTGAGACCCCCTGCCGCCTTGACCAGAAGACTCCTTAAAAAGCCACCAGTTTGGTAGCCATCTCCTAGCTGGGCTGCCGAATGCGCCTCATGACATGCGGCACTTCCAAAAGTGCGGACACAAGAAGGGTCACTTTCACCTTCACAGCTGCTGTCCCAAGTGATGAGCGATTAAATCGCAACTGGTATAGATCGATTCGAGGACCTAAACCCTGCAAGGGTAATCCATGAGCAGGGACAACACAGTCACCCTCAAACATGGGAGACTGAATTAGCCTGAAATCCTGTCAATTGCTTGCGAAATTGCTTGGGGTCAGGTTTGGTGTGTAAGATGAGTCGTTTTATTGGTTTTCCTAGGGTCAGACGTGATGACTCCCCTAGTCGAAGCTGCAGACGCTTCTAAAGGATTCCGTGTAATTTGCCTCATCAACATGAAAGGAAGCCAACGCACGAAGCCCCAACCTCCCGCACCCTGCTGCGGGAGTGACCCCAGAGCAGGAAGCCCCAATTGCGTGAACAAACTAAGCTAGAACCATAAGGAAGAATCACTTGAAGATGTCGTACCTAGCAAGCCGGTCGTGCAACTGTAATCCCCCCCACCCATGTAGGACCTGAAAATCAACCAAACTCTGCTTGGGATGAGCTGCTGCACAGCTAGTGACAGTGTGCCCGAGTTGCTTCTCTTGACTGGACTCTTGCCACTCAAACGCTCAATGCATCTCTTGTGGACGAAAAGCAAGCTAGGCCCAGGGTGTACAAATCAGTGATTCGCATTGCAAACTTGACAATAAATCTACGGAAAGGAGTTGTCAAATACTGTCTGCAAATCTTTGACCCCTGCAACATGACCGCTTCAGGCCAACGTGTGTTCCCGAGGCTAGTATGCTATTCAGACGCAGGTCACTCAGGACGTTGTTGCAACTATGCTCTATGTAGCAGCTTCAAGGGCAGTTCTCGCCGACATTCCCACTTCTGGTCACGTTCTGTCCTATGCTGTGTAGTGTAGATGCTATGTGGAATGAAGGCGTCTGAAGAAGTCACATCTGAGGGACAGTACTTGCTTTGTCCTGTGTCACGGTACCCCCTGGACATGCTTAAAACAAGGGAATGCTCTGGCCGAGCTCGGAATGCGGAGTTGCGCCCATGACCGTGTGATGACCTGAAGCCCAACCCAAGTTCCCAAAGAAGCCAAAGGCAACCGAAGCCAGCAACTGCACCTATCGCTGTTATCCGCTGCTCCTACCTACCGCAATGACTACTACATCATGACATCTCATGACATCCTGAATGTCGGAAAGCTCTACAACTCTTACGTAGACATAGCATCCCCCGTCATAGTACCAGTTTTCAATTTGGTTGGGGTGATCGCGACTTCCGCCTTCCCTTCTATCCTGCCTGCTCTGTGACTCTGCATATAGGAGTTTCCCAAAATTCAGGGTAGGGGACCCCTATGATAAGGATTGACGGTTATATTTCGGATATTTTGGGTTCTGTAAAAGGTCCGACATTTATGGACACTACCATATGCATCGTAGCACAGGCATGCAAGCTGGCAGCTTTCTCATACAAACAGACACACCAGGTACCAGGTACCGGCTGCTCAGGGGTTATTTTCGGACCCACAAGCTATGTACAGCGAGCCTCTCAGACGGTCTCTTGCCTCCCGATGCACAATCTGGTCCCTATCTCAAGCTAGGAGCACATTGTGATGTGGGTTTGCTGGGCCACTGCAGATGATTTCAGAATGTTTTTAGACGGGCTTCAGATCGAGGACCCTCTACGAAACGCACACGGGATGTGTTTGCAAGATGGTTCCAAGAAGGGAGCATGAGGAAATGTTCGCATACAAGTTGAAGCATGATTCCGGATTGAAGCTAAAACCACCCGGAATGCACACCGCCATGTCTGTTCTGCGAAAGCCCCATGAGTAGCTTTCTGAGCTGAAACTCTGATTCGGCCATATCCATCATGAAAGCGCGAGATCACGGTGCAGCATATGTCTCCACATTTAGTGGAGCTTTTCTGGAGGGTGATTGCTTCTACGCAGGCGGATGAGCTCACGGGATTTTTCCAGCAATGGCATGGCTGCAGTACCAAGATTAACCTCAAGATTAACCTGATAAATTTACTATAACTTTCTTGCAGCTCACAGCCTTGGAGTCTCTAGCTTGCCCGCTGTCAGCGCGTCTGCGAGCTTCACCTGAGATGTTTTCAGCCGTCGGAATTTCAAACACGCCAGCTTTGATATCCTAAGTCCACACGAACTCACACCTTCTTATGCCCTGTACGCCATTCTACTCCGCTGGCGCTGTTTCGATGCCATACCATCCCGACAGGTGAGCTTAGACGAGACCTTGTCCACAGTTCCAGATGAGTATCAGCCCAGTCACCACATGTTGAGTTTTGGGCGACGCGGCAAAAGCAACGACGGTCTCCAAGATGCTTGTCAGCTCATGGCTTGTCATAGATGCACACCACTCGCAGATCTCCTGGTGCAGACTGTGACTTGGAGAAGCAGTGCTGTACAGCTACCGCTTAACTACTTTTCTCTAGACCTTCGAGCAGCACTACTGCCATTCGCTCCATGTCTTGCTTCTGCTGCCGTGGGTGGCTGTGGGTGATTTTGCTGGAAATCCAATTATCACTGACTAATGGTTCTCTGACATTCGGTTTCCGACTTCCTTGACACGAAAGAGCCTATTATCAACGGGATGCTTGCCCGTTAGCCGTGAGCATGAAGAAATGGAATTGCAGGGGCCTACCTTGCTCAAAGACTTTTCAGCCTTGTTGCCTTCGGGTGGTTCAGTAGTCTAGGGTGTTCCCGAAGGCCTTCTGCCAGAAGCGACCATGAAGAACAACGTGCGCAATGTGCGCATCTGCCAGCCCAAAGGCTCAACCTACACCCTGGTAGCAGTGAACCCTTGCTACCAGGACAACCCAGAAAATCACCATCATGTTCGCGCGTAATCATCGCACAAATCTGACAAGGACCTGGAGGCCGGCAGCCACGAATGATACTTAGCGAAATAACCCTACTGACAAGAGCAGCTTCTATGCACTGGGGCTGCAAGAAGTCAACAGCTGACCACTAAGAACCTCCAAATGCAGTATTTATCTTTCCAAGCAAAATGCTGGTCTTCATCTCAAACGCATCGAGTTGAGATCAACACATAGCAAGTAGTGACATCATATTTGACTCGCCAACTATCGAGGCATCTGCTGACTTGAAATCAGCCCTATCTTTGGGACCTTTGCAGAAACATCAGCAGCTTGGACCCACTGCCATCTTAACTCAATTTAAGTTCCTTAAATCCCTATATTCCCCCAGTTTCCATTTCATTTTCCATTTTCTTTTCCATTTGATTCTCCATTATAGGGGGATAATATAGCAACTTATTGCCATCTTAACTGAGCCCAGTCGCCATCCATAGCTCTGGCGAGATCCCAAAGTTCGACGCCAACTTTTTGCGGAGGATGCCTTGCTGAACTGGGCGGCTGTTCAGGAACTTAATTCAAGCTACTATACTGGGGAAACCTTGTTGAATACTATATGCACCCATTGTGGGTAACTGAATTTAATCTCCATAACAGCCACCCAGTGAAGGCCGATATGGGTTGTACGCTTCTGCCAACAACTTGACTTGTCTACGCTACATGCGAGAATGTTTTCCAAGCAGTCATGTATCAAAGTGGAGCGGTCTCAATTGTCAATACACGTCCATTGTGAAGGATGTCTGAGGTGTTGGACTCCCACAGCCCTGTATGGGCTGGAATTGTTTTGATGCAGACGCCGATGGGGCTACAAACCATTCCACGCGTAAGCACAGCATCGGTCAAGGATTTCAGTTTTCGTCGCATTCAAAGTCGAGAGAGCGGTTGCTGGAATTCAACCACGAACTGCCGAAAGGTCTGCAACCCCACATTGACAAGCCCATGGACGGGATAGGAAGGGCCACGCACCCTTACGAAGGTTAATTTCCCTTCTTCTTGTCGCGAGGCCGTGGCATTTTGATCAGGCTCTCCGCGTTGGTCCAAGGCTAAAGTGTTGCTTTCCACCATGTTCAGAAAGAAATAATCTCTCACATGTCGGTGTACATGGCATGCTCTTCCTGCTTCAACCTCGAAGGCCCATACGCGCACCAACGCATTCTCTATCAGCAGCTTTGTTCCAACATCTGTTCGAACACCATCATCAAGTGCCAGAGTAGATGGCGCAAGAAAGGTGTGGGTACCATACACCTGCACAATATAGAACATGCCGTCCAGGCCTCGCAGCCTGACTTTTTTAGTTGAAAACGGCTCCCAAGCAGCGTGCAAGTTCCCTTCCGGAACCTGAAGCAAATTGCACGAAAGCTCTTCCCGCAATGTGCCCCCAGCCGACAAAAGCAGAAGCCTTTGAGACTGAAAGAGCTCTAAGCAGGAACCAGGCCCCAGCCGGTGAACTTGACATCGCTCATTCTCAAGCAGCATACTCTAAAGGAGCCCTAAACCTGCTACCACCTAAAACCAGTATGCTTGTTCATCTATGCTTGGCGACCTTCTTGCCGGGGCGTTTGCATGTCACCAGCAGTTTTACTGTAAATTCAAAACTCAAAGTGAGCCCAGTGGGGTTTGCTTTCTACATAGTAGTTTCCACTCTTCCATTATCCCTATATAGCCCCTATATTACCCCACATAACCCCTGTATAACCCTGTATAATCCATATAGTTTCCATTTTGTTTGCCATTATCCCAATATTCCCCCAATAACCTTTATATGACCCCATATTATAATAAGATCCCGTCAACCCCATATTCTATCTACTTAAGGGGGACTATGACCTTATAGAATGTCTTACTGTGACTCAGGATCGGAGCTCAAACTGCTGCGGCATCGAGCTGAGAATGCAAGCAGCCGTTACGTGAGCAATAGTCTAAACTCCTAGTATCCCCTTAGTAGCCCCAACAATGCTCCCCTGTATAATCCCCTATAGGACCCCTTTAAGGAGTTTAGACTATAGCTCACGTGGGCAAGAAAAGGATGACAGATCCACGCTACATTGGGGTTTGCAAGAATCATGAATCACTTTTGTGAGGAGTGCCCGTAAAATGAACTATTGCATTTTGGGGTCCTTATTCACGTCCGCCAATTTATGGAAACTGCTAACTCTGCCGAGGTTGACTTCGCACATCTTTTCAATGCTTCAACCTGCTTTAAGCAAAGTTGCGTTTCACCAACACACTGAAGTCACCCCAGGTCTCATCCGGATTGATGCCCCACTGTGGTCGCGCCTGCCAGGGTCGAACTTGCAAGCCAAAAGGTGGCCGAAGCGTCAGGCTGCTGGTAGAACTTAGGCGCAGACGGATAATGCAAACCAAGGTCAACCATGATGCAGAAAATGCAAGTTGCACTGCAATATGTGATACTATGCTATGACATGCCACAACAAACGGCAATACACTATAATATACTATAGCATACACTTGTATACTGCAGCATACTATAGTTACTATAGTATACTACGTAATACAGAATCATCTGGTATAAGTACCATAGTAGACCATAGTACGTCATCATACTACAATAGACCATAACTTATTCTAGTATACCAAAAGCTACTAAAGTACGCTATAGAGAACATAGACCGTCCTTACGAAGGACATACGCCGCTGAGATGAGCTGAAGGATCTGAGTGTGGCTGAGGCTTGCCAGCTGCTCGCGCCGGGGATTGGGACCTCAACGTCAAAGCGTGGTTCCCACAAATGGGGGTTTCTGAAAATTAGGGGTACCTTATTGGGGGTCCCCATAATAGGGATTATAATATTTTGGGGTCTATAATAGGGTCCCCTTATTTTTTGGTTCCCACAAATGCAGGTCCTCAAAAAGGTACACTTTATTTTGGGAGCCCTCCAAGTGGCATCCTGTATGATTGTCTCATATAATCACAGCATGTTGCACTGCACCACACTATACTTTACCAGAGTATGTCATGATATATTCTACTATATAGCTGTGCATCGTAACATGTCTCCGCAGTGCTCAGCCTCACAGTCTCAGGGTTGTTGACTGCTTCATGTTCTAGCATACGGGAATATACTATGATATAGTAAAATAAGCTATAGCATACTACCATAACATACTCTAATCTAGCACAGAATACTTGAATACTAGAATATACCAAACCTACTAAAACATACCCTCTAATCTAGTATTATAGCATACAAGAATATGCTCTGATATTCTAACATCGACAAGGGGCGCGAGGAGGCGAAACACTTTCCAAGCAGGTTTGGCAGCGGGCGAAGCTCCTGCTACCGGATGATTGCATACTATGCGATATTCTAGTAGATTATAGCCTATTATAATACTATCATACTACAGTATAGTATGGCATAGTATATTAGAATACATCATAATTTGAATCATAATGTATTACCGTACATTCTCCATTACAAGACCACACCAGAACCACTCGATTTTATCTTCTCTCTCTGCTTCGGTAGCTTATGCCAAAAAGTCCATGCCTGGAGGTGCTGTGATGCACGAAGTTGAACACTTGTTGCTGACTCTGTTTGTCACTGTCACATGATGATCTAGCAAAAATGTGAGGAACACCAGATGTAACAGGATACAGTCATCAAACACAAAATTTCGACCGTGCACGGACAAGGCAACCGCCGCGCGCATGAGAGTCGCATGCGTTTCGTGTTTTTTCCGGCACAATTGCAACTGCGTGCGTCTCGGGGTAAGTTATCATTGCTGTCGGTCCGAAGCGGGTTAAATAGTGCGGAGAAACACCTCTGATGCGTTTGGCCGCATGTCGACTCCCGCGTGGCCAACGTCTACATCGCAATTGTAATTCTTCAAGTGCTTCTTGTTGTTGGGTAGCGAAGCCTTTACTCTCAGCCCCACAACAACTTGAGCCGGTGCGCCTTCCAAGTTGGAGCAGGAGGAATTGCAATAGGAATTACAGCTGCATCAGTATTTGCCGCTGCTTCATCTGTTGTTGGGAATAGGGATGACGGTGCCGATGCTGACCATGATAACAACAATGAAGAGAATGGGAGTGCACTATCCCCCAACAGCTTGAGCATGATGACATTCGCAATGGTGACGGACAATTCCACAAAAAGTGTGCAAGGCTAGCACTCGTAAATCTCCTGAGAAAGCTCCGCACAGGATGTTTGAACCTGGTTGATGACTTCGTAGGTGCTCCTCTTGTTTGGCACCTGAGCAAACAAGATCTGAAGGCGTCAAGCATTCTGCAAGGAAGCAGTGCCACCGCGCCACAGGCAGTTTTGGTGGACTCGAGCACTGCTTCAATTTCCTCAGCACTGGCCGCTAGGCTTTGCAAGGCAGAGCCAATTCCTTTACCGCCTTAAACTAAACCTGACAAACTACAAGCAATATCACCTGAGGCGGAGCATGACGAATACGAACAGACAGCTGCGGTCCCAGCAGCTTCTCGAGTGCCGCCACCTTGATGCGCAAGTCCTTGCAAGACGTGAGAACAGAGAAGCTTGTCTGCTGTGACAGGCAAGACAGGTGCTTTGGATGCTGCCACCATGCATGCTTGTGCTCAAAAAGTCAGAGCCTGTCAATTCAGGTGAACGCTTTGAGCAAGCCTGCCGATTTCACCGCCGAGAGTCCCTTTCACATGCCTTTGCAGATGCCAGATCATCGGAGGTTGGAATGGTATCTAGGTCGTTGCCATCCGCTCGCTCCTGCAACTCTGACACGGTCTCATGATGGCAGCACGTGACAAGTGTAGAAGCCCTGGCTGCTGCTTGCTGTCCTAGGACATCTTCATGCAAGCGTCACATAGCACTCAGGTCTGGCTTCTCTCATGTCTCTATGACATGGCGAGAGATCTTGTACAGATGGGGCGCATGTGCAGTCATGATGCTGGAGTGCTTAAGCCGGCGCCTCCAGCACAAGCTTCAAATAGCCCTTGCGATGGATCTCGATGTTGTTGCAGAACTTTAAGATCCTGCGTCTCAGAGCGAGCTTGGAACACAAAAGCTAAGTTGCCTTTCCCGCCCTTAAGCAGGTCAAGAAGGGCAAGCCTGAAAATTGCAATGAACTGTCATGAGCCAAACACCCTGCAAAGACACAGGCTTGTTCCCTACTCAGCCCAATCTTTTTGCCGGCAGGCTTTGGCATGCTCATCGCCAGGATTGTGGACGCCTTGGCTGCACGAAACTCTTGCTCTGAAGCTGTTGTCTACATGCGGCAACCCAGCATACACCTGGCCTTGGAGCCTCTGAAAACACTGCACGGACAGTAATCCGAGGCCGCCTCCTATGTGCAGAAACTGTTTCAGGGACCCGAAACCTGGAGCTAGTAACGCTATTACTGGGCTGGTGTCCATGGCCAGCTGGCACCTTCGACCCTCGACTCCATCAATAAAAGCAAGGCGTCTGCAACGCTCACCACAGCAGTCATAATGTGCATCGGCTTTTCCATGACTCCGATTATGGAGTCTATGCTGAAGGCCTGCAGCATCAGCTGCTTCCCAGCTGTTCTTTTTCTATGCTTCTGACGTGTAGTTGTCTTCTAAACCTAAACTGGACCATGCCGCTGCGTCGTGAATTCATGATGTTAGATTTCAAGTGACAGTGGCAACAGTAGACTGCTGACACATTGTGCCACGTCTCACGACGATTTTCGCAGGTCGACCTTGAAATCCTTGAACCGATCCGCTAACAACAATTGCCTACCTCGCATGGGTGTATCTTCGACAAGCAGACTGTCATGGGGCGTTGCAGTGTTGAGCTCGAAAAATCTCAGAAAGAACCATTACTTGCACAAGGATAGTGGATCGGGGGAGCCAGCATTAGCGTCGAATTTCTTCCCAACACGAACACACTGCCTTCTTTCGTCTTCCTGTGGTATGGAAGGTAACGAATCCAAACAGCAGGGATTCCATGTCTCTCTCTCTCTCTCTCTCGCCCGCTCATTCATCAACGCGTACACCCACCTCACTCGCCCAGCCTCTCCCGCTCTCCCTCCCTGCCGAGATATTTTCTTCTTCTTCTCCTCCTCTCTCACTCTCCCTCTTCCCCTCTCCTTTTGGCTAAGCCCTTGCTCTCTCTCTCTCTCTCTACCTCTCCTCCTTCTACAAGGCATGCTCCCCCCGCTGAGTTGGGAGAACATCTTGCTTCTAAATCAAGGAAAGCTAATGGGTACTCCCTTCAGGTCGGCCCGCTCAAGCTCACTCCCCAACCTTCGAACCAACACAAACACCCCCTGCTCCTGGTGTTTCCAGGGATATTACGATTTGAACGAATGACCTGCTAGCCACAGAGGGCTCAGAAAAGACTTGCATGTGACGCCTTTTGCGCGTGGATTCCATGGCCAAAACCGCAGCACAGAATGAAAAGCGCAAACCTGACAGCCAGTGCGTGGCAAGAGCTCTATCACATTTATTGTGTTGCCTTTGAATAGATGCTCCTTCTTAAGACTGCCCGTCATGATAATTCTCATGAGC